GGGGCTTAAATCGAACAATACTACAATTCTTGTGTCTTTGCCATCCTGTCGTTTTGCAGGGTGGAAGATTGTTATGGTTTCTCTTTCCCTTCCTTTATCCCATCGATAAACGCATATGTCCTGATAACCATTATGCACGAACTTTACTGTTATATGTAAACAAAAACCAACACATATATATTTTTCCATGTATAAAGAACGCAAGAAAATAGAGCACCACCTAAGATGAAGGCACATGAAAGAAGAGAAAAAATTGAGGATCACATGAAAAAGAGATTATGTCAGCTTTCGTCAACACACTAACCACCCATCATAACAGTTCCAGCCACTAGCAATTTATTGCCGCTCCAGCTTGTGAGAGTGCTTTCGATGATTCACTTTTTCAACAACCGCAGTTGCAACAGACTTCGTCGTACCTCTTACGGACGTGGCTGCTTCCGTCGTAGCTCCTGCTAAGAAGACTCCATTCGTTGATGCAACCTCGCCTTCACTCCGCTCCTTGAATTCGTCCTTCTTCTTATCCGTTCCCTTCCATTTGGTTCCACCTTCGGGCGGCTCTTTGAATCTGTACTCTTTCTTATGGGTTGAATTAGGTTTGGCTTCACCTTGCTTCGGTGCTCTGAATCCCGCAACGATCTTGTCGGTTCCATTAGGTTTTGCTCCACCTTGCTTGGCTTCTTTAAGTCTGTCATCCTTCTTATCGGCAGGATAAGGTTTCGCGTCCCCCTTGTTTGGTGCTTTGATTCTCGGAACGCTTTTGTCGGTTCCATTAGGTTTGGCTTCACCTTGGTTTGGTGCTTTGATTCTCGGAACGATTTTGTCGGTTCCATTGGGTTTGGCTTCACCTTGGTTCGGTACTTTGAATGCTGGTCCCAGTGGATCTGAAAGGTGGTTATGGAAGAATATACAGTTTATCTGGCGTTCGGAAGGGTTTTGTGGCGCTGGTTTGTTAGCGCTGCTGGTCTAAGATGTCTTCAAAGTCGCAGCCCATGGATGGTATTTTTCAAACTAACTCGTTTTTTTATAACGGTGGTCAGTGGCTACTCATATATACTCTTTCAATTTATTGATGGGTACCTATCGATTGTAGATTACGTTCAAATTAATTAGGTAAGTCGATAAATCCATTGATAGTCGTTTTGTTAAAAGTGTTTATGTATTGAATTAGAAGACAGAACATTTTTTAATTCAGGTATTTAATTGATTTAAAAGTTGTTGAATTACAGAAATAGATTAAACAATTTTTGAAAGGGGTTCTTCCAGCTGAATAGATACCACTGTATGAAGCTAGGCAATATTGGTGTAATTTAGATATGGATTGCTATATTTTTAGATATTACATGATATGCATGCCTTTATGGATGACCGTATCAGATAGATGCGCGAACCTCTCATAGATCATAACATATGACTTCAAGAGACTGTCAAAGCGGAGACTAGACAAGTACAAGTGAAAATACTTGTTTCTGTCGAATTGTACTTTGTAATTTTACTCAAGTACAATTGCTTATGCACATTTGTCCGGAGTATCGGTACTTGAGT